AGAATTTTCTATTCTATTCTCTATAATGGTATTATTAATATAGTTTTGGTGAACTTCCTAAACATAAATGAGCATATGCTCACTAGTAATGCAGGTAATTCTTAAATTCACAAAACCTGCTGGTTATCTGGTAGTTAAATTGGTTTTAGCAGACGCCCAGACTGTGAGTGTTTATGGGTTTAAATCCCACCTCAAGCACTAATTGCTTGAAGTGGGTTTTTTAATTATTTTCCTTTAAGATAAATATCAATATAGTATTGCAAATGCAAGTGATCAGAAAAAATAATGATAAATTAATTAATTTTTAAACAAGGACTTTTTCAGTGCCATTTTTATTGGAATTCCACACATGCTTGTAAATACACACTTTTAAGTTTTCCTGTAAAAATACTACAATAGTTTACTTTTTTCAATACAAAATATTCAAAAATTCATGTTTTTATAATCATAGATAAGTTTACTTAAAGCCAATAGCCCCTACAATATAATAATGATTTTTACAATGTTCCTATTTACAATGATTGTTTATAATTATGTAAAGTTTTAACAGAAATATAATTATTGATTTTAATTTACATTATATGCCTCAACTAGGTGGACCTTATTTATGTTAAGAATCTACATAATATGAATTTAACATTTCAAATTGATAGAGAAATGAAAACCTATTAATTTATCTATAAAATTTAAGTTTTTAATAAAAAATAATAATTTAAGATTAATAATCAAGATATAATTTATTTTATTTTTAAAGTCTGCCAACATTTTTACATATCAATAAGCAACCACAAAATTACAGAACTATCTATAACAAATAGATGAAATGGTGTACATAAAAAGTTTATATGCATGCACTATCAGACTTGTTTATCTAGCTCCATAGTTTTCGATTTCATTTTTTTTCTAGTAATTTTACATAATTTATATCATATGGATTGCTATGTTCTCATGAGGTAGATGAGGAATCTGGTGTTTGATACCCAGATTTTGTATATTTACTTCAGACGTCAGGGTGCTCATTGAAAGTATCCTTGTATCTTTGTGAAATAAATAATATTGGATAGAAAATTTTATATACTTGAAGTGCTAGACAGTTAAAGATTAAAATTTTTTGGTACCTTAATATAAGGTATTTTTATAAATAATTAATGATAAAGCAAACATATCAATGGATTTACACAATTTATTATGTTCTTTACAGTCTATTGGTAACTCACTCACAAACTCTTAAAATGTAGGAATTAAGAGTCACAGTGGATTGGAGTATTTAATATATTTCACATTGTAAATACATAAAAGTCAGATGAGAGTAAAGAAGAGAGTGACATAAAAAACAAAAAACAATGTATAAAATACTAATTCAAAAAGGTATTCGAAAAGATGCCAGTGTCTGATTAATATAGAAAAAGGTTTTATCTACACCTCCCTGTCATCAGGACACTTATGTACACCCTTTATATCAACACACTGTATGTACAAAAACACTATATCAAAGGTACCTTAACACTGATGCCCTAACCTAATTAACCTAATAACACAAAACAAATAACACTAAACTAATCCTAAATTAGTTAGGTACATATAGTGTCTCAGCTTAGGCAGTGGCTTTGTGAGAATGTCTGCTGTTTGGTGAGCTGATGGTATGAATGACACATTGACTTGTTTAGTGGATATAGACTCACGAACAAAATGATGTCTAATATCAATATGTTTTGTGCGGGCGTGATGAATGTTGTTTTTTGTTAATTTAATGGCACTTTGATTATCACAATTAATGGTGATGGGTGACGAAAAGCAAAAGATGTCGCTTAGTAATGAGCGAATGTAGATGGCTTCCTTACAGGCTTCACTTAGAGCCATGTACTCAGCTTCTGTTGTTGATGTTGCAACGGTTCTCTGTTTACGTGATTCCCATGACACTGCTGAACCACACATTTGGAAAACATATCCTGTATAGGATCGTCTGTCCACCAGATTACCACCATAATCGGCATCAGCAAATCCGATTAGATCACCACTATTGTTATAGGTCAGTTTCCTATTTTTTATAGCCTTCAGGTACCGAAGAACAGGTTTCACAGCTCTCCAATGTACCGAGATAAAAACTTTTTCTATACAAACACTACAAATATGTTTGCCGAAGTTACTTTTGTAGGGCAAAATGTTTTTAATTATCAATTCTGAAGATGGATCAAGGTATTTTATTTCACTCAGCAATTGGGGGTACCTAATTGCACCTCTTAAGATTTTAAATAATATAAATTGTTTCACATCTATCATTAAACGCTAACTATCGATCATGAAAAAGTAGAAATTTGCAACTTTTTAGAAATCGTTAATTTTGACAGATGAAACGTTCGGATTTAGTAACATTTCAGTAGCGTTTCGATCCAACGAAGTGTCAAAATTTTAGTGGAATAAGGGCCGACGGGCCGACGATCGACTCAAGTATATGGACGTAGTTATGCAAACCAGCCACATGATGTCAGTTTTGAGAAAAATGGGTTTCTTGTTTTTACTTATAATTTATTGTAGAATATATTTTATTTTATTTATTTATCAAGAAGTTTTGTGAATTTACAACATGTGAGTTTAATTGCAATACTTTTAGGCTTCTCTGCACATAACTCGATTTTGACAGATTTGTGGGTTGGTTCCGGTTTGCATAACTACATCTATATAGTTCTATGTTCGATTGAGCGAGTAGAATACCGTTTACAGTTTCTGTCGATCGATAGTTAACTAAACTAAAATAGAACCGGAACTGTATCGTTTGACGCCATTTTGACACCGAGTAGAATAGGAAAACCACTAAAAGTTGTAGTATCGTTCGGTTTCGTTCCGTTTTCGATTCGATTTAAACAAAATTTATTTAGTAGAATTGGCCCCAAGATTGTAACATAAAATTAGAACTTATTGGAGCGCGCACATTTGAAAAAGCCTTTCCAAAATACTTTACCAGATAATTTGTCAGTATCAAAATTATTACAGTTAGTTATCAAGGTTTATTACATATCACATCGTTTAAGCAATTAAGGACGATGACTAATTTTGTCTGTCCGTTAAGTAGATTATTGAAGATATTAAAAAAGTATTTCATATTTCTTATTTTTATGTCACTGGGCATTCATTAATTCATTATTTTTTTTGTGTAATCAATAAATTACAGCGATCATAAAATTACCTTTGTACATTTTTCTCCATTGTTGTGACGTATCGAACCCCACTCCTTAACTTTAATGCCTATTTCTTGTTAAATTAAAGCAAGAAAAGCTTGTTTAATTTGCTATTATCTAACTGACGGACTAAATAGATTTTCTTTTTTATCCAGGCATCATCCGTATTAGAAATAAAGAAAGTACCTTAAGCATCATATACTGCGAAGTAACAGAAATATAATTCACATTATGTAGCATATCACTCTACATATAATCTCATACAGGATGCGCTCAAACTTGTTATAAGCTCCAACAAGCTTAGAAGCTGTGTCATGTAACAGTACTATACAATTAGTTTTCTGAACAGGATTTCAATTACCTACGTTATTAACGGTGTTAATGTTCTTATAATATGATTGACTTTTCTATTTATAATCTTTCAAGCGTCGCTTAAGCAAAAAAAAAATGGCGGTTGTTATGAAGTTGCCTTATAAATCGAAACATTATTTTTAAGGAAGATAAATACAATACATATATTTATGTGCTTGAATGCAATATAAGTAAGTACATGCAGGAAGTTGCATGATTTGTTGCTAACATTTTCAAAAATTATTATGCTAGTTAATTTTGACAACACCTTTAATGGAACTAAACCCTAGTGAATTTATCCATTAATTAATGATAACCGTTAGAAAAGTTTGCAGTCTTCCCATAGTTTATAAATGTACCTTTGGTAATAGAGAATAAGCATCGGGCTCGGGATTATGCAATTAGGCGCTGTACTACTAAATATAAAAAAAAATACTACGTCGCTTCGTTTATCTATACCAATAATAAAGGTGAAGAGTTCGTTTGTTTGATTGAACCCTACAATCTTAGGAATTACTGGAACGAATTGAGTTATTGTTTTTGTGTTGAATAGTACTTATCGATTAAGGCGTATGATATACGAGTAGAACATCTCGCTATGACTTATAAGAGTGGAGCAGCAATGAAAAATGTTACAGAAACAGGAGAACATTTTACTATTTTTATTTAAAAAAAGGACATAAAGGTTTTTCCAATAACATAATTAATTAGTGAATTATTAATAGGGCGAAAAACTCAAATGTTACATTTGACTGTCTCTACTGAACACTAGATTACGCTACTGTACTTTTAAAACGAGACTGATTTTTAATATGTTTGTAGACTTTATTTTTTCCGATTCAAATAAAAAAAAATAACTTTCGTTTTAAATATTGCGGTATTTACAATAACATAATTTAATGGTGAATTGTTAATCTGCCAAAATAATAAAATGCTACAAGTAGCTGAATTCGCTTAATGACGCTACTGTGCTTTTAAAACTGGTGTATTTGTTTGTTTAACTTAAAACTGTAGGAAAAAGAAATTGTAATTTTAATACAAGATTTCCTAATAAATAGTATTTGCCATTTATTAGAATATAATATACCGGAAAGACTAAAATTGTTGCCACAAAAATTTTATAAAACACTTTTAAAAACATGGTTAGTTGATAAATGGTTTAATTCAGTAAATGAGTTTTTAAATATTATTTGGAAGATTTTAATTGATTGACATATAATAGTTAAGTTATTGTATGCTGTTTAGCAGTAGAATATGAGATATATTGTTTTCTTTAATTTAGTAGTTGGTTAGAGTACCTATATTTCCATATTCTTTCCGTTATTTAAAAAAAAAAATAGTACGTATCTTCGCTTTCCAGACTAATTTTGTGAAGTAGAGTTGTCTATCTGATTTCATAAACATTTTAATTACTATCGCAAAGTATATATAATCCGGAGAGATCGCTGATTCTGATAATGTAAATATACTAGGTTTTCCAGCGACTTCGCCTGCGTAAACTATGGACTATTTTATCCGCGTATGATGAAGTATCGGTAGGTGAAAGAACTTTTAAAACAATTCCACTAGTTACGGAGCTTTGCAGATGCAAACAAATAGTCTTTTTATTATTATTTAATAGACTTTCTTTTGTTACAGATTGCGAAAAAAATGCAACAGTCATAGCTTCTCGAACCATGGGTCCACCCATAAGCGCGTGGCCGTGCGGTCACATCGCACCCATAGTGAACCACTGCGGTGACAAAACAGTGATTAGTGAACAAAAGTGTATTCTAAACAAGTTCGTGGACAACTTCAGGGTGTTGTGTTACAATTTCACGTTCGCGCTGTTGATCCTCAACTTGTTTATCAATCTGAACTCTGTCACCGCTGGACCAGTGATACTAAATTTGGACTATTTACAAGGTGATTTTAATTTCTTTTGTTAACTTAACTTGTTATTCCTTGTGACTTCGTTTTTGAACGTATTTAGTATTTTCTCTTATATTATTTACGGAACGGTATCAGAATATTATAAATCTTTTTTTTTTTGAGTTTACGCTTATTATTCATATCGCTCTCAGGTCGGAATGTTACGGGTTTATTAGATATTAATTATTGTCGTTATGGTAACCAATTTTATGAAAAATTATCAATGAAAACATCCATATTTTTAAAAAAGTTATTGGATTGGGAAAACTAGAAGTTTTATAAACAATGATCCGAAAATCGGACCGTCTTTCATATGTAACCGTCTTATAATATTTTGGCGCGTGAAAAAGTAATCGTGACTATTCCACCTTAACCCAGACACTTGCGGCTTGATGTACGTAACCTTTTGTTAGATTAAAAAATCTACTCAACCCTGTTATAAGTATCTTTTATAATTTCTACTGATAACCAAGATTAGTACTATTATTTATTTATAACCAAGACACTTTCATGGTACTAAAATTGTAAATGCACAACTTTATGAAGATGTATGTAAGTATGTTTGTTGTACTCGTATATACACTTTCCTGCAAATACTACTGAACGGATTTTGATGAAACTTGGTAATCGGACAATTCAAAGCTCGAATTAACTTAAAACAAACTACTTATGTGTTAATTCGGGCTTTGTGTTACACTTAATGTTTTACTAGGAATAAATGTATTGTTAAGTCATTATTTTAACCAACAAACCAAATCAAAAATAAATAAATATGTTGTTCCAAATGAAAAGCCTCCAAATAAAACTGAAAACGTTTACCATTATAAAGATACCCATTGGTTCCGTGTTACCTAAATCCGACGACAATGTGTCGTGAAATTTCCGATTATCTTCACTTATACTTTCCACTGTTTATCATATGAAATAACAAGTGAGAGTATGAGAAATAATAGCAAATGAATTCTTTGTCGTTGGACTAGTGTAGTTATTTTTTTCTTTTAGTCCCGAGTTTTGGGCGCCTTATATCACAATTCTTAATAAATCTCTTGTCACGACTTCATCTAGAAAATAAGAATTTTATTAAATTCATATTTTAAAGAAGATATATTTGATTGCTTGTTTTTTTGCAATGGATATGCCTCGAAACTATTGGACCGATTTATAAAAGTTTTGTATCTACGGGAAGCTACATAATACGCGGCGGACATAGACTATAATTCACGCAGGCAAAGTTGAGGAGAAACAACTAGTTTAATAGAAACTGTTTCACATTTCAAGAAGAAATCTATATACATGCTTTACTCATTGATATCTACTATCTATGACTTTCATAAATAAATATACATCAAAGAGTAAAGTATACATACTCGTTGAACATAGATAATCTTTCTTCGGATTTTAAATTTATTTTAAATACGCAATCTTTTGTTTTTTAGCTGAAATGGGCTATGTCATAACAAATCTTAATATTAAGATATCTGTTGGAAAGCGTATTTTGTTTTGTTATAAAAGGAAAACTACTTATTCAATTTCGATAAAATTTAAAAGGTTTTACCTCGATCTAGCTGTCGAATAAAAAAAGAATTTTGAAAATCGGTCAACAATTAACGAAAATATCTGTGAACATACATAAAAAAAACTAAAAAATATCTCGCCGTCGAACATATAACCTCATCCTTTTCGATTTTGAAGTCAGTTGAAAAGTAGAAATATCTTTATCATTTTTATTTTACCGCAACTTATAAACATAATAGAATGAATCTACAGATAATAATACTAGAAATATAAAATTTACAATATACACACGAAGTGAGACAGTATTTTATACGAGGTAAAAGAGAAGTTTTAGGAAGTGATAATCAATAGATGTATAATACTGATTGATTTTAATGAAATACAATGTTACATTCATCATTTTGTGTTTTCCGACTTCGCCCGCGTAAATTTATATTTGTCCTATTATATTTAGCCTTTGTCACCCGCTTATGATTTAGCTCAAAGATTTTTTAAATCGTTCCAGTAGTTTCGGAGCCTATTCAATGCAAAGAATCAAATCTTTCCTCATTATAATATTATACTTAGATAAAACTCTCCATAATGGTTATTATATTTATGTGTGTTGCCGGAACATAAAACTGTTTCGATTTTTGAAAATCTTTAGAATACTTCACAACACGTATTTACTTTTTTGTCGCTAACCAAACTCCTTGTAGACATTTTTTTCTACAGTCCGAACTAACTCTATGGTTAATTGAAAAAACTAGTCATGCTTTGAACTGACCATACTTTCACTTCCCGCGCTAACGGGGTCAAAACTAAAGTAAACGTGTTGTTAAGAATTAGGGATGGTTTGCCACATAAGGATCTCTAGATACTGCTACAGGTTAGCCGGCTTTCTATCATAAAAAAAATTATATACATTTTATATAAAATATTATTTATATATTATTGTTAACTAAAAACTTAGTAAAAACTAAAATTCAGTGGTTCGCTATAGAAATGTGTAAAGGTATGTATCTCTTCTTCGGCCGCGTTGTTTATATGTTTCCTGATAGAAGGTACTTTTATCCCTATGGAGTCATTTATTGGGATAAAAAGCGAATATGTTAATGCAGCCTAAAATTCCGTTTAGTAGTTGTTACGTGACAGAGTAATAGACATACATACTCACAACTTTCGTATTTATAATATTAATAGGATCGATAGAAAACTTGTAGCTACATATGTTTTCGAGTTTTAGAACAACTTCTTAAATTTCGAACGACAAATAGGCATCATCCTATTACGAGGGTCAAACTGAAAGTTCTTAGAAAATCAAAAACTGATTACATTAGCCAGTTATTAGTTTTATTATATCTTTTCAAAATATTGTCCATTCACGTCAATACACCGCTGCATGCGATGGAACCACTGGGAAAAGCACTTTGCCCACTCGTCCTTAGGGGTCTCTTCAATGGCATCGCGATACGCAGCCACCGCTTCTTCAGCATTCATAAACCGCTTTCCTTTAAGTTTTTCTTTAATTTTTGGAAATAAATAAAAATCACAAGGCGCGAGGTCGGGACTATACGGCGGGTGACCCAGTAATTCAACGTTTGATGTCGCCAAATAGTCGATCGTTCGCTTGGCGGTGTGCGACGAGGCGTTGTCGTGGTGAAGGAGGATCCTACTGCGAGGTCGTTTCTCTCGAACTTTTTCCAAGACAAGTGGCAAACAATTGGTAGTGTACCATTCTGCAGAAACTGTTTTTTGATCCTCTCACACAATTGTTGCAAAATGACCTATCCTTCCAAAGAACGAGGCCACCATTTTTTTTCCCGCACTTCGATCTCTCTTCACTTTAGTTGGCAACTCCTCGAAAGGAAACACCCACTGAGCAGATTGTCTTTTAGTTTTAGGATCATAACAGTAAATCCAGCTTTCGTCACCTGTTAGTATGTCGAACACAGCATTTGAGTCACCTCCGTTAAATCTTTCAATCATTTTACGACACCAATCCACACGATGGAGTTTTTGAGCCTCAGTCAAATTATGAGGTATCCACCGGGCGCAAAGCTTCCTGACCGCTAAATGTTCGTGGAGGATTTTGTGCACTTGACTCATACCGATGCCTAAGCTTGTCCAAATCTGTTGATAGGTCACTCTTTTGTCAGTCTCTATCATACGCCGCACAACACAGATGTTATCTTCAGTCGTCGCCGTAGAAGGCCGTCCCTCACGTAAATCATCAGTGAGATTAGTGCGACCACGTTTAAACTCATTAAACCAGTTGTAAACAGTCGCACGAGATGGGGCTTCATCGTGAAAGGCCAATCGTAGTCTATCATAACTTTCTTGTTGACTTAAATGACATCGAAAGTCATAAAAAATCATTGCACGAAAATTTTCTCGTGTTAAATTCATGATGACGTGACACAGACAATTTTCAATTTGCCGCCAAATCGTAAAACAAATGACAAATGAATGAAATATATACTCAGTAATATTGGCAAAGAGTTATATTTTCAAATTTTTGAATTATTTTTTTATTATATTGTTTATAAGTGGCCAGTTCTAAGAACTTTCAGTTTGACCCTCGTATTAAAGTCGAAGCTATAGCATAACAGAGTTTCAATACAATTAAAAAAACCAACTTCTAAATGTAAAAAGGCAGACGTGACAGAATTCACCTTTTGCGTCAATGAAAAGATGTTTACATGCGGTGAAAGTGACAGAAAGATATTCTATGAATCGTGTAAGCTATGAATGTACGTAGACGTTGAATAAGTAAGAGGAATATCTTTCTTTTTATTATGTGCACTAATGGGTACAAAAAATATTTACGCTTCTAAAAGTAGTTTTTTTGTGTTATATTTAATGTTCAAATGTCAGAAAAAAGGGAATTGAAAAAGAGGTAACGATATACATTCTTGGTGTTCATTTTTGAATCCATTTGTTTCAATATTGTAGAGAAAGTGGATGTTGTAGTTTTATGTTGTTGGTAATCACAGAAAGAGGTAGAAAATCCGTTTAATTGGTGGCATTATCTCAACCAATTAAATATCACGAGTTCCAGATTATACTCAACCCATCAATAGTAAGAATAAATCGTGCAACTTAAAATTGACATATATTTTAGACTCCAACCGTACTGCGTTTATACGTAAGTCTGAAACTTTTCGTTTTGTAACACATATTAGCCATCTGTTGGGGTCATTAAACTTTTGACGTATGATCAGTTGTGAATAGGAACGTCCATTTTGATTGTATTATATGACATGAAATAATACTTTAATGGTATTTCCTGAGTTATCATAGCTGAAAAATAAGTTTTTAAAGTGACACATATAAGGATATACAGTTTTTTAAATTAGCATTGTTCGAAAGACTGTGTATTTCAATAAAACTTCTTCTTGGAAAATTTTCTTACAAACATTGCTATTTTTGAACAAACATATAACACTGGGATCAAATAGTAAATAAAATATTAGCGTATAAGATAAACAAAGATGAGG